GAACCCTTTCTAGGTCATTCATATCCCTCCTGAAGTGCGGTGACCAAAACTGGACACAGTACTCCAGCTGTGGCCTGACCAATGCTCCATAGAGGGGAAGTATCACCTCCCTAGACCTGTTTGTAATGCACCTACTTATGCAAGAAAGAGTGCAGTTACCTTTACTTATTACCTCATCACATTGGTGACTCATGCTCATTTTGGAGTTGATTATGATTCTGAGGTCCCTTTCCGCAGTTGTGCTGCTTAGAATGGTCCCTCCCAGACTACAGGAGTGCTGATGGTTCTTCCTCCCCAGGTGCAACACATTACATTTATCCTTGTTAAACTTCATCCTATTCTGTTCTTCCCATCTCCCCAGCCTGTCCAAATCTGCTTGGATTTGCTCCCTACCCTCTAGTGTGTTTCCCTTCCCCCATAACTTTGTTTCATCAGCAAATTTGGGCAGGGTGCTTACTACTCCCTCATCCAAGTCACTAATGCAAATATTTAATAGTACGAGTCCCAGGACAGAGCCTTGGAGGACTCTGCTGCCTACATTTCTCCAGGTATAAACCGACCTGTCTACCACCACTCTCTGAGCGCATCCAATAAGCCAATTTTCCACCCACCGGACTATGTAATAATCTACATTGCAGGTTTTTTAGTTTACTTACAAGAATTGGGTGTGACACTGTGTCAAAGGCCTTTTTAAAGTCTAGGTAAACAACATCTACCTCTGTTCCCTCATCCAAGCATTTTGTGACCCGGTTGTAAAATGAAACTAGGTTGGTCAGCCAGGATCTGCCTGCTATAAACCTATGCTGATTGGGGCAATTACTTTACCTGCAGGTCCCCCGCAAATGTGATCTTTAACTATTTTCTCAAAAGTCTTGCCAAGAATAGAGGTGAGGCTAACAGGCCTATAGTTACCTGGTTCATCCTTCCTCTGCTTCTTCAAAATAGGGACCAGACATTGGCCCTTTTCCAATCCTCTGGGACTTGTCCTGAGCGTCACAAGGGCTCAAACAGTTGTGCCAGTGGGTCCGCTATGACTCCAGCTAATTCCCTAAGTACCCTAGGGTGAAGATTATTAGGGCCTGTTGACTTAAATACATTCAGCCCCTCCAGATGCCCCCTTACTAGGTCTGTATGAACCACTGGTGGGTTGGTATGTATCCTGGGCTTGTTTAAAGTCCTAATGGGATACGTATTCGTATTTGTGTCTAGGAACCCTGATGCAAAGAATTCATGTAGAATCTCTGCTTTAGCCATCCTATCTGTTACCAGTTGTCATTGTTCATCCTGCAGTGGTCCTAAGTTATCCTGTACTTTCTTTTTGCTGTCTATGTACTTAAAAAATGACTTTTTGTTATCCTTGACTTTTGTTGCCAGCTTAAGCTCCATCTCTGCTTTGGCTCTCCTCACTGTTTCCCTGCAGGCTTGAGCCAAGCAGGTGAACTCCTCCTTGGTGACTGCCCCCTGCTCCCACAGCCTATAGGCCTCTTTTTTTTCCTCACCAGGCTCTCCTGGATTTCCCTGCTCAGGGTTTCTTTGCTTTTTTGCCCCCCTTTTATGTGGACTGGGGTAGTCCTTTTTTTTTTGTGCCCGCAGGATTAGTCCCTTGAGAAACACCCACCCTTCCTGGATTCCCATCTCTGCAAGGTTTTACCAGTCAGTTCCTCCCTAACTAATTTCTTGAGTTTACCAAAGTTGGCCTTCCTGAAATCCAGCACTTCTTCCCTACTAGTTATCTTCCCCACCTTTTGCCAGATAGTGACCACCTACTGATAGAGTTCACTATCTCCTAGATTACTTTGTACCTGCCATATCCCCCACCAAGTCATCCCCTGTGGCCAGTACCAAGTCTAGCAAGGCATTACCCCTGGTGGGGATGCATATCCCCTGCGATAGGTGAAGGTCCTGTAAGGAGGTTAAAAACTTACATGAATGGGCAGACCTGGCTGCCTGCTTCTCCCAGCAGAAGTTTGGGAAGTTTTAAGTCCTCCATGACAGCCAGGTCTTTTGAGCACACTGCCTCTGAGAGCTGCCTCGAATTCTAGGTCCAACTCATCCCCCTGGTGTGGGGGTCTGTAATAGACCCCTACTAGGTCTCTTTCTCCCTGACCTATGATACCTCAATTTGCCCTTCTTGTCCCAGTGTGACTATGGAAGATGTATATTGTTCCTTAACGTAGAGAGCAGCTCCCCCTGCTTTTTTTTTCCCCACTCTGTCCTGTCTGTACAGCCTGTAGCTCTCAATGCCCACTGCCCAGTAATGGGTAGGATCCCACCAGGTTTCTGTTAGCCCAACCAGGTCAAATTCTTTATTTGCAAGCAGGAGTGCAAGTTCTTGCTACTTGTTCCCCATGCTCCTAGCATTGGTATAGAGGCATCTAAGCCCCCTGATAGGTGCCCTTGCTAATCTCCCATTCTGTTGCTTAGTGGGGCCCTTGTTACTTACCTGGACTGCTCCAGTGCATGGCTCATGGTTCGTCATACCTGGCTTCTCTTTGTCATCATCATCCCCCGATGAACCTAGTTTAAAGCCCTGCAAAGGAGATCAGTGAACCTGTAAGAGAAGAGACCTCTTGGAGAACGATGTAGTCCATCTCACCTGAACAAGGCCGTATCCTGGAAGTGCAGGTCATGATCAAGGAACCCAGATCCCGTGCAGTGACACCAGCTCCGAAGCTGCGAGTTGGCTTCTCTAGCGCAGTTGCTTTGGTGCTGTCCTTGACTTCTGACTGGTAGAATGGATGAGAACCTCTGTCAGGTTCATGCAGTCAGGTTAAAATGGAGAAGCCCACTTGTGCTCCTGAACCTCTGAGCCTGCTTTCCCAGCTCCATGTAGTCACTCATGACCCTGCCGGGACTACTTCGGGCTGCATGATTTGTTCCTGCATGGATGAGGACCATGGGATTTAACCCCTTGCAGGCTGCCAGGTGGACAGCCCTGGTCTTCTACACTATACTTTGGGGTCCTCTGTCAAAGGCACTATTTGGATCCCATCTGCCAGTTGAATAGGCAGTATTCAAATGAGCTGTCTGCAGGTGCACGCAGTCAGGTTAAAATGGAGAAGCCCACTTGAGGTAGCCTGTACGGCTGGACAAGAAATGGAGTGTGGAGGATTGCAAAGCTCTGCTTCTGGTAGATAAGTCATTTCTCAACGTGGCCACTAGGAGGCCCAGGAAGACAGTCACTTCACATGCCAGCTCAGTAATTAGTACTCCTGGCCACAGTGTTTCTGGAAGACTTTCCTGCCCCTTGGTGGTGGCATGATTCAATGTCAGATAAGTTCTTACCTGCCTAGGAAGATACACAATAGGACTATTAATGCAAGTTTCAGTTTTGGTTGTTTATAACAAGAAAACTGAATCTGGTCCTTTACATGCATTCTTCCTAATCAGTTGTACTCTGTAGGCAGAGTAAGTGGGGCCCATGCTCAGAAGATGCGTAGTGCTGCTCTTGGCTCAGTCCGGGGTAAGAGCACAGGGCCTAGCTCTGGGTCAGAGGCAATCTCTGTGTTTATGTTGGTGGCTGTAGTCTCAAGGGCTGAGACTACCAGTGACCCTGTAGGGGCACAACACTTCCCTGGCTGTCTCTCTCTATCTGTACTCTTGACAGTTCTGAAGATGCATGAGGAAAACTCACTGACCCAACTGTGTCTCTTGTATAATAGGCCTTTGGTAACCTTTGACCTACTGGGAGATGACCACTTTGTGCTGGGAAGGCTGGCCCACACTTTGGCGATCCTTTTGTACTTTGCTGTCAATACCATGGTAAGAAAAGAGGAGCTCATTATACTGATCTTGCAGGTAGCAAAGAGTTAATCCAGCCCCGCAGCTCTGAGGTAGCCTCTGATATAGCAGGGTGCATCAGAGCCTGGAACTTACTTCACTGGGCTGGGAGTGATCTGATCATGGATCCTATGCCCCAAAGAGTGGAGAGGGAGTGGGGGGTGCTCAGAGGAAGCTTAAGAGCCAGGAACTCCAGGATCTGACACTGCCTTTGTGTATGATCTTGGGCAAGTCATTTTGCTTTTTTGCCTTAATTTCCTCACTTGTAAAATGAGTTAATAGTGACTTTCCTGCTTCTCAGGAAGGGGATATAAATGAGATTGTCCTATAAGACTTTAAAGACAGAAACCACTGTTTATACACATTATAAGAGCATTGGCTTGTGGGAAAACCAGTCTGAGTGACTTTTTTTATTCTTGTTACATGTGGCCTCATCCACAAATAAGTCACTGTCCCTTTTGGGTTGATGGGAGTGAGAAACTGGCTATTCAGTGTGTTCCCTTCAATCTTGTTTTTCAGGTAGCTGCTGCTATGGGAAAGGCACTGCTGGAGTTTGTTTGGGCTCTGCGCTTCCACACAGACTCGTAAGTTAGGTTTTCACTCTGTGAACATGCGCCTGCAGGGCTTTGTGGCATGTTCCCTGCTTGCCTAAGAGCATAAGGATGATTGAACACAGTGGCGCATCTACCCATGCTTTGGTTCATGCACAATAAATCTGTTGCCCCATTGTGAGGTCCTAGGAGAATGCACTTTAGCCTGTCTAATGCACATTAACTAAAGAACAGAGTTGTTTTAGTAATACTTTAGTGCGCATTAAAATAGGCTAATGCACTTCATAGTGCACGTGTAGGCATGCCCAGTGCCGTTTTCTCTGCACCCCCTCTCAGCACTAGAAGAAAGCCTACATAGTGTCTTTCACATTCAAAAGAAACCAGGAGGGAGGGCTGTCACTGGGACTTCACAGAAGCTGTGACAGGTTTGGATAAAGCTGAGAGGATGCTGTCACTGAAGACTCCTGCCTCCTGACACCTAGTATCTTGTAACCAAACTCATCGTTTGGTATGAAACTTCTCATGGGTCTTCTCTGCCCAGAGCTAGTGGCAGTACGTGTGGAACCAGGCAAATATCTCAAACAATATTTGAGTTGTTATTCACATCACCCTCTCTCTCCCTGTAGATTTTTTTTCCAGCTGCTTTTCTTGAGGGAGCTGAGATAACCCAGTTATCTAGTTTTAAAAATCTTAAAACCTGGAGAATCAAGTAGATCAGGTAGCCTTTCTGCTGCAAATGCTTTGCCCTGCCTCTTATCTCCTGCACACACTCCAGGCTGCTACAGATGTTTGAGCTTTTGCTAGTCCACAGACTCTTGGGTTTGGAACTGACCCCAGCTCTTTTGGGTGCCTTCTCCACCAGGTATGTGCGTCAGGGCCTCCTGTCCTGTGTCTCTTCCATGCTTCTCAGTGTCCCCAGTGATCGCCTTCTGGAAGATGTGACTGAAGAGCTTGTGGAAACCCAGACTTGGCTCGCTGGTAAGAGGAGTGGTGTGCCACACCTTGCCTATCAGTGCTGGGAACGGTGCAGGATCTCTTGGCCAGGAAGGGTAAAAAGGAATGTTTAGGTGGTTTCTTTGTGCTATTTAGTAGACTCCCAAATTGCAAATGGATTTATCATGTGGAAGGAGGGGCTAGGACTGAAGCCAGCATGCCCTCTGATGCAGGGGATGGTGTACTACAGAGGCACCTAAAGTGTAAGCCAGGGATCTGCAACCCCCAGCACATGCCAGAGCATGGCACGTAAGGCCATTTTCCTCTGCACACGGCAGCCGGCTCAGGCTGGTAGGCTGCAAAAAGTTGCACAGGGCTCCACAGCCCCAGCATCAGGCTCTAGGGTGGCAGCAGCTGCATGCGCATCTCTGGGCAGGAGAGGGGCCAGGGTTGTACTGCCCCAGGCTCCTTCTAGCTGGGTGTCTGGAGGCGCGTGCACAGCTGCCACAGAACCAGTACCGGGGCTGTGGAGCCCAGTGCAGCTGTCTGCAGCCTCCTGGCCACCTGCTACAGCCACTGCAGGCTCTAAACAGTTGCAGCAGATGGCAGATAGGCTGCAAATATCTGTGCTGGGCTCCACAGCCCCAGTACCGTGGCAGCAGCAGCTCATGCCTCATGCATGCAGTATGCCTCATGGCGCATGGGGGTGGGGAATGGGCTAGGGCAACATAACCCCAGCCCCTCCCCCACCTTCTGCCCAAAGGTGTGTATGCAGTTGCTGCCAACAATGGGGCTTGGGCCCGTCACAGCTCTCCCACCTCTTGCACACCAAGTCAAGGTATAGGTGGAGGCTGAGGTTTTTGGCACTGCCCAAAACGTTGCCAACCCCTGGAATACGCTGTGGACCACATGGATCCTATGGCCATATTTCCATTGGGGAAGTGCAGTGTGGAGATTAGAGTGGAGCAGTACCCAAGCTCTTTCAAACTTATATCAGGAGGGAGTTTTTCATAGATCTGCGTTCTGAACCAGCTGCCCCTTAGTATGTTAAGGTGCTTGCAGGCTTCAGGTATCTTGTTAAACAGCAGCCTGAATCTTGATTTGGCAATATTTGTGTGATTTTTGTGCACTGAGGACACAAAGGATGGGTGAGCATCCTCTCCTACTTCCCATGGTGCTAGAAGATAGGAACAGAAGGGCCTGGCCACTTCTTCCTAGTTTCTCTGTATTGAGAGGGAGAACAGCTGGCCTACAGAGAGGTGCGACTTAGCCAGCTTTCATGAAGGGAGCGTGGCATGCAGCACTGAGTGAGTTCCTGGGCTCTCGTGGACTGCACAATGCAATGATAGTTGTGTGCATCAGTGTTGCGTGAGAGGAGACGCTGGAATGGCGGGAGAAAATAGCATTGTCTAGATTGAGCCTCTGACTAGGCTGAATCTGCTGATGTGCTCATATTGGACCCTTTACTGTTCTGCTCTCAGTGGGTTTCCTTTGCCATGGTGACATTTTGAGAGCTGGCTTTCCATGGGGCTGGGTAGGAAGGGGACATGTTTGTAACGCATCCTTTTGCCTGCAGATGCATCTCTAGGCAGGTAGGGAGAAATGGTATATGTATGGTGGTGGGAGCACTGATAATGTGTTGGCTTACAGCTTTCTGCATGGTGCTAGTGGCTTGTTTTCTACTGGTTCCTGATGGACTCCCAGGACCCAGCTCTGCTTCAGAAACTTGGAACCATTTATTTTAAATAAGTCTCTCTCCTCATCTTCCCAAATCTCCCTAGGTGCCCATCCTCCCATGAGCCATTCTCTGTTTACTGCAAGACAAGGCCCACGCTGGGTTCCTGTCATTCCGTGAACCATCCTTTGCAAAGCTGCTGTCATGTAGAGGGGGTCCAACTAGATTCTCACCACTCATAGTCACTGCCAGCTGGTGGGATTAGTCTTAAGCTATCACAGTTCAGCCAGCGAGGGTTTAGTGGACCTCTGCATTAATATTTAAAATAGCCCCTTCAAAGAGCTAATGAGGCACATTCAGTGCCCTCTATGGTACAATTTAAGCTGGCTCCTCTAGTGCTAGCAGACCTGTTACTGCCTATGTCTTTTCTGCAGTGGAAAGCCACTGTGTTGGGATTTGTGTTCCAAACCAAATGCTGTGATAGCTAGCTAAAGCACAGATCCACTGTACAGGGCAGATGGGGCCAAATTCTGACAGCTGACACTAGGGCTGGACAAATTATTTCTGGAGGCCTTTACAGAAGAAGGGAGTTCTACAGCTTAGCTCTTAGGACTCTAGCTTATACCTAAGGTTGTAATGGCATCATGTCAAGTGCCAAAAGCAAGGCAAGCCCATGACAACTGCAAGCCAGAGTCCCTGCTCCAGACGTGTGCATCATGCAAGTCACCAGAGGCAGGTGAATTGCTCTGCACTTGGAATAGGAAGTGGTTGAGCCGTATCTTTTTTGCTGCTGAGAAGTAGCTGTGGATAAATGCTGTCCCACTGGTCCCTCTTGACAAGCTTCAGGTGAAGAGCCTGGATTTTAGGAGAAAAGTGGGGTTATTCTGTTCTTTGTTCCCTTGTTTTGATGGATTTTAGCGATGCCCATGGTATTACATATAGGGTGGAGTCTCACGCTGTTACTCCATTTTCGCATGAAGCAGCAATCTGTTTTTTGGCTCCTGTGCAGATGTTGTTGAGGGAATTCTCCTCTTATCCCAGATGCAGTAGTAGAGTTATCTGAAGGGATAAAATTTCATATATCAGGACTAATGACAGTTCCAAACATCCCTTGCAATGGCATTATTTTCTAGGTGCATGGTACAGGCTCTGAGGTAATAAAATGAGGCTGTAGTAACTGTCATGTTGGTGGTTCCCTCTCTCTTCCCTTCCTTACATAGAGTGTGGAAACACCATCATGAAGCTGTCCCCAAGTTTATAAATAGCTCTACTCAATATGAATGAGTCATGTGCTCAGGCTGACAGAGCTGGGCTCAGAGCACACTGCTTGTGCGTACAGGATATCCTCACACAGACTCTTTGCTCTTCCAGGCTCCCCCTGCTCTGACATCCTGAGTGCATCCTGAACTTTACATCCCAAGCCCATTAGGCCTCTGAAATAACAGCTGCTGGAGCATTTACTTAATACTCCTGTATGTGCTGCATGTAGCACCAGCTCTGCACAAAGGAACCACGATGGCTTGGATGCTGAGACTAACCCTTTCAGAGGGCTGTCTGGGAAGCAGCCATCAGTTGCCTAGCGGTGGGCTGCACTTTGCTCCAGTGCAGTGGTGCTTGTGAGCATTCAGTTATGTTTTCTGTGCTTGCAAGTGCAAGGGACAGTGTACAAACCAGATTGCATGCAAGGTTTAGGAAGCTGCCTTTGCCTCTGAGCTTTTGTGTTGGCTAGACCTCAGGTTCCCAAGCCCCACCAGTATTTCTGAGCAATGTCTCCGCATCACCCATGGGGGTGCTGTTCTCGGCTTGTGCAATTCATGCCTAAAACCTGTTATCGTGGATCTAGTTCTTGAGACTTTTCCTTTGAACTGACAGACGACCTTTTCCCATACAGCCTGCTTGGCTCTTCTAGCTGATCTTTCCAATGACGACAGCCCAGGCCCTTGGCTGCCAACATTCACAAAGGGCTGCAGGCATCCAGGTTTACTTCATTTAAATTTCCAGGAATCGGCAGGGTTGAATTGCTTTTTCAGTCTGAGCCTCCATCCCAAGAGTGTATTTGAAGCCATTATTAAGATGACTGGATTTCTAACTACAAACAGCATTCATGGGAACAGGCTAACGGGCAGACGGATGAACTCCAAATTCTGTCTCTGAAAGAACGTGTGCAGCATCGTGACCTGTTGGCATGCATCTCACAGTGGGATTTGGCTCTTGGAACAGAAGAGGCTGGAGTCTCTGATTTTTTTCCCTAATTGACAGGAATGGTTAATGTTGCACCTGTGTCACCTGCCTAATGTCCAGCTGCCAGTTTTCTTGGAACTATAGTGTTCTAGCCATGAGCGTGCAAAAGAATATGCCACTGTAAAACCCTTCATTTGGTCCAGACCAGTGATTCTCAGCCAGGGTGCCACAGCCCCTCTGGGGTGCTGTGACAGCTTTTCAGGGGTGCTATAGACTGCCACACAGTTGAGACTGTTGGATGTTCAAACATGATTCACAAGCCATGCCTGGAGAGTTCAAATATGAATCCATAGTGTCAAAAACATTCTGACCTGTTGTGGTTTTTCTGAGTTCTTTGCAACAGAAGAATTGTTCTATTATTTTTCTGTAGTCAAAAATCAAATGAAAACTAAGAGCTGTCATTTTCCCAAGAGATGTCTTGAGTCTAAAAAGGTTGAGAATCCTCAGTCTAGGCCATTTGGCTCTAGGCAAGTCCTGAAGAGCCAGGAATTGAGGGTCTTTGGCCATATACAGGCAGGAAAGAAATGTTAAGCTCTAGCTCAAATGTTTTAGTTTCCTTTTGTTCTTCCATTCTGTTGGACTGACACCTTCAGTGAGACGCTTGAAAAAAGCTCTGCAAAGAGCAGTTTTTCTTCCCAGTTCATAAATTATGGGATTTTCCTCTCTTGCAGATGTAGCAGAGAAAGATCCAGATGGTGACTGCAGGAGGCTGGCGTTGCAGAATCTGCTACTAATGGAGAACCTGAAAAAGAAACTTGAAGCTGCCCCTTCCTAGGTTGAGAGGGAAAAGGCTTGAAAAGAGAAGTGACCTCTACCTAACACACTTGCCAGCTGGGTGTTTGTAGGCACTGCTGGGCCCCTTCACCAGTCACCTGGCTGAAGGAGAGGAAGAGTGGGGGGGGAAGGGTGTAGAGCTGAGAGCCAGGGAGCCTGGCTTGACATCTGGACTTTGTAGTGGAGGCCAACTTAGTGAGCTGTTGCTATCCGGTACTGAGTGTACAGATGCAGGAAGGTACATTAGTGCTGCCATCCTCTCTGCACCTCCCCCCGTCTCCAACACACTCTGCATTGGCTATTTATAGCCTTGGCAGATTTGAGTGTTCTGCTAAAAATATAGAAGACCTCACAGCAGTCTTCTCCTCAGAAAAACAGGAGGAGTAGATGTAGCCATTTAGCTCCTAGGGCTAAGTCTGTGGTACATCCATAATGCAGGATCTGGTATCCCCCAGTAATTGGTTTTTGGCAGAGCGGTTATCGAGCAACTCCGTGGGATGTAGTAGCTTTTTACAGAGGCTGATATTGCCCATGATGCATGTTGTTAATAGTCACAGTAAGCTCCTGCCTACCAAAAAATGTGCAAGACCTCAGAGCAGAAACCCCACTCTGCCCAGCTGAACCCACTGGACTGGCATTCTGTTTACAAGGGATGAAGCAGGCCTCTCTCCTTTGTGAGTAATCATATTATGGTAAGAAGCTGTGGAAGCCAAGGACAGGGTCAACTTGGCATTCTGCAGTGTATTAAAGAGAAACTGCCTCGGTCACTGAAGGCTGGAGTGTCTGCTTTGAAAGGCTCCTCCCAGCTTGGGGGGTTGAAACAAGTCATTTGTTAGTGTTCTCCAAACTGATCAATGTGTGTGAAATCTCACAAAGGAAATAAAGCTGTTCTTCCTCTAAACAGGAGGACTAATTAGCATGAAATATGTGCTAAGGTGGCTGCTGAAAATACAGGTTTTCCTCGCTTTATGAGGGTTCTGTACGTGCAAATTCACTCTTATGTGATGACCCTTTTTATACCAAAAATTTGTTAAATGCCAGGTAAATTCACTCTTACGAGATCAGTGTGCTAGAAGCCTCCAGTCAGCTGCTTTATGCAGTGCACTGTGGGAGTGACGTGCACTAAAATATAGTCTCCTGTGTCGATCTGTGCTCCTCGCTTATTGTCTGCAATGCATGTTTCTGGAGTTGTTATTCCCATTCTGATACTGCCCTGTGCTTGTGTGTACTGTCTACTGTTGGTGAGTACCAAAATTGTATTGTAAAAGTGGTAGAAGTGGGTATGAGGGTCAGTACAGTTCAGGTCTTGGAATATATCCCTATTTGTTACGTTGTAAAGTGGGTTGCCTTTATGCGAATTCAAGTTATGTGCTGTTTTCCAGGATTGCATGTACAGCATAAAGGGGAAATCTGTAAACTGTTTCTGATGGATCTGGGCACAGTAAGAGCCTTAAAGGGACTAAAATAAGGATATCTTGAAGGCAAGAGGAGAGACTGACTTCATTTCTGTGTTTGCTGCTCCCATGCTGGTTATCTCTCTGCTGTCAATCACTAGGTAGGGAGTCTTAATTCCTGAAGTTGCTCTTGGAACACCTTCAGAGTAAAACCAAGGGCAGAGCAGCTGGACTTTACTTAATCAAATGTTAGCTGTTAAACTCCATTGTGTTAGGAAACAGGCTTTGTGGGGATTTTTTTTCTTTTTTTCTTTTTTTTTTTAAAAAGAGATTGCAAATTCCTTTAATTCTGCAGATTGTGTGGGACTGCAGGGCTGCCTTAGGTCGTGTTCCTTATTGTATGTTGCAGCCAGCTGCTATCTGTGGTAATAAAATGCAAGAGCTAAAGGTATGGAGTTCTGGCTGTTGGTTTGCATTTTCTCTTGATTTAGCGATCAAGTTGTGGCCTAGGCACTAACTGTTGTGCCTGTTTCCTTTCAGAAGGAGGTGAAAAGAGTCTTCCTTCCTGTCCCAGGGAGTGAAATACCATACTGCCCTTCTCCTCAACAACTGGCATTTTTAACAGACCAATCTTGGTGAGATGCACATTTCACTGCAGTAATAAAACTGGTTTTACAATCTGCTGGGGTAGAAAGTCCTAATGCACAGTGCTAGTTCTGTACCTGCTGCTCTCATCCTCCCACCACTAGTGCCTTAATTGCACTCGCATTCATTTTTCTCAAAAATTTAATAACATATTAAAAATAACCACTCTAAATCTGAAAACTTTTAAAAAAAAGATTAACAATAGGTGTCAGCCCTTCTGCATTATACATGTATTTAAGGAGTTCATCACTTGAACAGTTCTGCTTATACTTTCAAGCATAACAAAATTAAACTGCTTGGTATAAACCAAACAATCCACTGCATCAAGGCTTTTCAGAAACAAAGTGGTGGACTTATTGCCCCTAGGGGGAACTGATCAGGAAGCTGGGTGCTATGCCAAAGAACTATGCCTTGTTTGTTTCAGCAGTGTTAACTTCTGGAATAAACCAGTCCAGTACTTAGAAAAATGAGCTGTCATGGATCCTCCACTTCGTCAGCCACATCCTCTTCGACCTCCTTGTTGTCTTCCATGCTATTGTGACGAATTCGCTCTGGGACAGGGTTGCGGCTCAAGGGGATGCCCAGCCCCCTGTGAACTGCCTCTATGGTGCGTTGACTCACATAATAGGTCAGGTTCACGCATGGAATTCTTTTCCTCATCTCTTCCAAGTACCTGTAGGCCTAGAAGTAATATACTGAGTTATGTAGTGTCAAGCACCAGGGTCTTTACTTGACAGCCCATCACAGTACAGTGGGGGAGAAAAAGCACCCAAGCACAATTAGTAGCTCAAACTATTCATTGTACTATTCATCATATCACCCAGTCAGGAATCCACAGCAAGGTCAGTAGCTCACAGCTTGGATGAAATGGAGATACCTGCCCTCCCTCTCCACAAATAAAATGAAAACTAAGGGTGCTTACAGACATGGGGAGGGGAAGGGGGAACTGTGCTTTACTTTAAGCTTAATACACCCCACACACCAAACAGTGCATGCTTACAAGAGACATTGTGTTAGTAGGATTCAGCTTGCCCAACATCTGTATAGATTGGGTGCTTCAGCAAGGCTTTTGGAGGCTCTTATCTAATAGTGGACTCAATCAGCTATTGGATAAAAGCTCCAAAAAGCCCTGCTGAAGCACTTGATCTGTACAGATGCTGCAGAGCTGGGCAGAACTAATGTCCTGCCTCTTCCAGTAAAGTGCTGTTTTGGGTAGGGTTTTTTGCATCTGTCAGTGCCCAAAGGGACCAACAGCTAGAGGCCACTGCCTTGAGGGGTCATGGTATTCACTAACTTTTAGAAAACTGTTGATGAGCTTTCATTTCTAGCACTTGATTTCAATTGTATGGATGTGAGGTTTCTTCTCTTCTTTTTATTAAAAAGCTAGGACTGGCATTGAAAATTAAGAAAGGGACTATGATCACCCAGTAGCAGCCTTGTATCCTCTACCCTGATATCTGAAGCACTGCAGTATGAACAGGTTAGCTGCATGGCTAGGAACCCTGATGTTCAGCACCTGGCTATTTTAGAACAGCAGGTTACTTTTAGTCCAAGGTCTATAACTCTGTGCCGTCTGGTACTTCCTGCTCTGAACAAATGATTCATCGCTTCCTCAGATGGCTTCAATTTTGATTTTCCATTTTTTTTCTGGTCCAGGTGGCTGCAAGAGGTACCATGTAATAGCACAGAAATGTGACCAGGCCCTTCTGTCAATGGGAACAGTTGCACATAATGCAGGAGCCATCATTGCATTTCTCTTTTCATGCCCTGTAACATAAACTTTCTGCCATAAGATGAAAAATGGACTTAGACATGTTGTTCCTTCTGCACACCCTGCACAGCCGTCAGCACTGGCAAGGTTAAGCTGTTTAACAGTGATATCAGCTCTTTTTGGGGGTAAAGTTTTAACATGAATACTCAGAGCAGCTGTCAACAATGGAGTGTCTCTGTTTGCGTTCTGAGAAAGTACTATAGTGAGCTGCACTCTCTAGGGAGGTAAATAATTTAAATTGTAAACCTGTAAGACGGGGAAAGTCCTTTATCTTTTGACAATGAGGATGGTGCTCTAAAATTAACTTACCATCTGGAATTCCTCCACCTGCAAGTAATGTTCAACCATAAACCCCAAGACGTCACCTAAGCGAATGGTACTGTCAAGATCTGGCTCATCTAGGAGAAGGTCGCACTGCCTGATTGCTTCTTTGGGATCTTCAGAGTAAGCTCTAACAAAAGAACATGTTGAAACAATAAAGAACTTGTGCAGAGAAGACCACAGGACTCTGTTTACTGCATTTCTCTCTCAGCTGTCATACAACTAGGAACCTCGACGTGTGTGTTTGTGCATGTGAGCACTTGCCCCATAGCCTTCCTTCATTAAAATGGCTGTCTTGGTAACTTACCTTTAACCAAGAGGTTAAATAAGCAAAAGTTGCATTTACTTTGAGGTCACCTTTGCCTGTCACTCAAAAGTCAACATGCTATTCTTTAGTTGCATATTCTTCCCCTCCCCAGGGGGCCAAGTTTTATAACTGCTTTAAGAGTGAGTTGTCTGCACAGGGCTAAACTACATTGCTACTAATGTAGAAAGCTGTCCTCAAATTCAGTATTTCCATATGCCGTTTTCCATGCTTGGAGCACTGAAGGTTACCTTCGAGCCTGGATGAATCGCTTGATCAGAGCCATTTTGCTTTGCAAAAGTGCCAGTTTGCTTTCCTGCTCAACAGGGCTCCTAATCTTTGCCTTTGATAGGCATTTATATGCCTCAGTCAGGGCTCCTTGTGCTTTCTCATAGTTTTGATACTCATCGATCTCTACCTGCAAGGAGAGTACCAATTAGGAAGAAGGTTAAGTGTCCTGTTCCTGAATGCCAGAAATCAAACTGCTCTGAGACTAAGGGGATGTACCTGAGCACAAGCATCATAGAAGCCAGCTAAGAGGTCAAGGGCTCTTCCTTTGGTATAGAAGCTAATGATATTCTTCATAATCTCTGGGTCTTTACGCCAATCCAATGACTGTAAATAGTTGGCTGCCATAATATAAATCTCTCTCTGTCTGGAGACTCCAGCAAAAAATACTATCTTCTCTGTGTCTCCAGACTTCAGCAGTGCTCTCATGGCCTATAAAAAAAGAGGTGAGGAGGGTCATCATCAGCAATATAGAAACAAGAAGCACTGCCCAGACTGAGATGGACTCACAATGTTTATAATCCCTACTATACAATCTAATGCAAGAATTCCCTTTCATCAGATCTTCAGTAGCCCTACAGCAAGACATCTGAGCAAATAAGTTTCATCTCACAGAAGGGAAAGAGAAGGTCCCATGTGGGAAGCCAATCCTGTGGAACCTGGGGAGGACCCTGAGGAAGTCTGAACCCTGAAAACGAAGCAAAACATACAGCCTGTAAACATGATTATTTCTGCCTAGACTTAAACTAACTCAGTCTCTTTAACAGTAGCAACTTACTGTATCTCTGACACAGTAATTCCTTAAAGCAATCCCTTAGCTATTGATTATAAGTATATGCGATTTGTCACTCTACATTTATGAAAGCCAAGATGTTCAAACACTGGTCCTGTAGCTTCTCCTCCTATCCAAACTCACCTTCAGTTTGTTTCCTGCTTGAGTGTATTTCTTGGTTGCCATATGGTAATTGCCTTGCCGCATGCAGCAGTCAGCAATCTGCTCCAACAACTCTCGCCTAGATTCCTCAGAGAGCTCCTTGGAATCCTTGGAGATGGTCATCTTCTCTGCCATCTCCTCTGTAATAGTCAGGTTCTGCTTCAGACAAAGCTGCAGGGCTTCGTGATACTAAGATGAAAGTGGGAGAGAAATAAGCTTAGCTAATTGTTCTGTACGTAAGGACATTAAATCATGTTCAGCTTGCTACACTCTGGGTTCAATCCCTAGTCATCCCACAACTTTTAAGCCTTTTTGCAGCTTAAAAGTTAGAGTGGCTACATTTGAAGCCAGCAAGACCCAAGTGATTAGGGCTCCAGCACCCTGGGCTGTATCATCTTAACATTAGAGCAGCTCCTAAAAACCTTTCTGAAGTGACTGAATCTAGGGGTGAAATTAAATTTGGGTGTACCCTAGCTCTATAACAAGTGAAGCCAAAACCCTCAGGGAGTTCTGAGTGATTCAAAGCAGGTGTGTATTCTGCATTCTGGTCTTTGTTGCAGTGTGGTTTGGGTCCTAGATGCAGCCTGACTTGCTGCTGAGCTCTGCTCTTCTGTAGTCACACAAAAGAGGCCAAGAGAGAATGCTGTAGGGACTCTTACCTTTTTGGCTGCTAGCAGCAACTCCACAGCTTTTTCATATTGGCCATGTTCAATGAAGAAGTCGGAACAGCGTGCCAGCAGAGCAGGGTCTGCTTTCTCATCCAAGTCCTCAGCAATCAACTGCAGGGCCCCAAACTGCTGTGTGGCAAAGGCCAGCTCCAGTGCTTTGGAGAAGTGTCCCGCCTAGACAAACCATGGACAAATGTTTAGTTTTCCACCCCCTCATAGAGGTTTCCACACAAGCTCTATAAGCCACCTGATCACTGAGTTTCTGCAGAAAAGCTCTGGCTATATAAGCCACCACTTGTATAAAGATGCCTGCAGTCTTTACCTTCTCCCAAAATAACTATTATCTTTCTCTCAAAATAGTTAACTAAGGCCAGT